ATATGACTATTTTAAATTACAACTTATTTATCTTTTAGTTGAACTGCATCGTCTAATTAGATTAAATAAGGCATAATAATACATTTTAAAGCATAAAAAAAGTAAAATTCATTAATTAGAATTTCCCATTTTAGAGCCATTATAATTTTTAGATAATAAATAATCCCAATTTTCTACCATCCAATTCCGTTTGCTTTGTTTTTTTCATTTTTAATTGCGAGTTCAAGATTTTAAATTCGTCAATATTATATAAATACTCATTCAATGTTATTTGCTAAAAAAAATAAATTCAAGGTAATTGTTGAAATATAACTCACAGTTTCAATAATAACAAAACTCCAATAAAAAAAAAGAGATAACAATTATACTTCTGAAAAAACCATTAGTTTTGTTTTCCATTTTAATGGTTTTAATTTTCATAAAAATAATCAGGGTAATTATTATTTTCCATTTTTTCAAAAAGTTTTTATTTTATGTATAACTAAATATAGAATAAAGACAAATAAACTCCACGTTGAGTGTAAAGTTTAGCTAAGATAATAATAACAAATACACATGGTGTATTTCTTGTTCATATCAATAAATACAGATAATATTTATCCCAATAATTTTTTTTCATTTTTAAAATAAAAATTAGAATAAAAACAAATTCATCAATCCCAAAGTTTATGTCACATACAAAGTGTCAAATATGTTTATTATAATTATTCCAACTTATTCCTGACTAAACTTAATTAATACTAATCCAAAAGTTATTAGAAAATAATAATAAATAAAATATTACCTGTTTAGAAAAAAAAAATCCTCATACTATTTTTTTGTACTTGTTATTATTATCCATGGTTTCTTTTGCTTCAAAGATATAATGTCATTTTCTATTTTTTTTTCCTTCTTTGTTGGTTAAGTTTTACTTGAATCGATCGAGAGTTTCTTTATTCTTTTAAGGTAGAAATAAAGTTAAATACATATCATCTTTTCTAAATTTTATATTATAAAATTATACTGAATATATTTTTATTTTTTATTTTTTAAATAAATAATTAGTAATATAGCAAAAAATAATAACTTATTTATTTTACGAATTAACTTTTTTTTAAAAAGAGATCAGAATATTAAATTTATAAATTCCGAATATTGAAAAAAAAATTGACTCATTAAATTCTTATTATGTCAATTACTCCATAGAGAGAGTTATATTTATTAATAACAAAAAAGTAAATGTTTCAACTCAAAGAAAAGATCATTTTGATTAGATTTACTGAAAATTTTCAAATTTGTAATAACTAATAGTTTATATAAATATAAAAAAAATTCAAATATATAATAACTAACATATAACTTAAATCAAATAAATAAAAAAAAAGATCTTCACAAACTTCCTTCTAACAATACCACAAAATCACCCATTTTTCTAATCTCACATTTTCTTTTATTGTATCAAAGGTGAATTTAGAATTAATTATATATATATATATATATATATATATATATATATATATATTA